TGTAGCACAGCTGTAGCCCTCCTATTGTGTACATATAACTCAAGAATTTTACGTTGTTAACCTAGGTTGAATTAATCAGTCACTCGGAGTGTCTCAGATCCTTTGAGAAAAGTGCGAAACAGTCTGGAGTAGGACATATTTATCCCAGGCCTCAGAGAACCTCCCAGGATATTTCAATAACAATGATTAGCACACAGTCAAAGATAACCAGACCTACAAGGAAACAAAGCAACATGAGTGAGAACCAGCAGAAAGAGATTGATGTGAACTTTAGATATTAGAATCACAAGACAGATTATTAAACAACTATGCCTTCTAATTTTAACAAAATAAAAGAGAGTCTTGAAAATCTGCAGGAAACAACTATAACAAATGACAGAGTAAATTTTAAAAAGAAACAAATTTCTAGAAATGAAAACAATGTTTAACACAAGGAGAGACTGAATTAAAAAATTAGAAGATAAATGAAGAGAAATTATTCGGAATGCAGTTCAGAAAGACGAACAGAAAAAAGAAGAATGTAAAACGTGTGGAGGACAGAGTGGGAAAACAACATAGGTTTAAACAGAAAATTTAGAAGAAAATAAGAGAGAAAATACAAAAGCAACTACATTTAAAAATATAATAGCTGGAAATTTTCTAAAATATATTAATGACAATTATAAACAATTTCAAGAAGCCCAAAAATCCAGGCAGGAAAAATAAAAACAAATTAACATCTGGATGCATGATGGTGAAACTGTAGAAAAACAAAGTAATGAAAAATATTGTGGAACAGCCAGAGAACAGCAGTTAGACTCGCAGGCAACTTCTTGATCCCAATAACAGATGACAGAAAATAGTAGAATGATATCTTTGATGTGCTGAAAGAAAATAACTGTTAACTGAAAATTCTATATTCAGAGAGAATATATATTTCCAGAATAAGGGAGAAATAGAGACATTTGAAACAAGCTGACAATGAGACAAATTGTCACCACAAGACACTTACTACAGGAATTTCTCATAATATATTCCCCACAGAAGAAAAAATGATCCTCGAAGGTAAATCTAAGAAGCAAGAAGAAATAAATAGCGAAGAACATGGTAAATATAGGGCAAATGGAAACCATCATTGATTCTATAAAAGAATAAATAATGTCTAGTGGTATTTTTTAAAAAAAAGAAGAAAGAAAAGAATTAAAATACCAGACAGCAAAAGTATATACTTTGGGAAGGGGATAAATAGATTAAATATAGTCTAAGGTAATATTTTGGAAGAGGATAAAGGATTTGATTAGCTTTAATCTTTGATAAGTATCAATGTTATAATCCTAGGTAAACTACGAACAGAATAGAAACAAAGTATATCACTCCCAAACCAGTAGAGAAAAATATAGAATTTAAAAAAAAAAAAAAAGGGAAAGAAAAAGCATATGCTGTGATTCTATTTATATAAATTCAAAACCAGACAAAATAAACTCTATTTCTTAAGGGCTATAGATATAAGTATAAAAATAATGAAAGGTGCTGAAATAATGACTAAAATGCAATTTAACTCTGTGGCAAGGAGAAAGGTTGTGATGACATAGGGACAAATTGCAGAAATGGGGCTTCTCATGGAGGCTGTCAGGGTCTATATCTTGAACTGGGTGGTGGTTATGTAGAAGTTTGATTGATAACTGTTAAAACATATATATATATACGTTGTATAAATATTACTAAAAAGCTGTTTCTGTATTATTTTCCAATGACAATATTTAAAAATTTTTAAGTGTGCTACATATCAGAATACATAAAAATCTATGAGAATATGAACGCTATTCTTTCCTTCATAATTAGGGATATCCAGATCTAGAGACACCAGTGGTTTTCAAATGGTTCTCCTCACAGGAGGGCCAGCCAGTCTGGACCAAACTTTCTCCGGTCTGAGGTAAAGTGAATAAAACAGAGACAATGTATGTACACATGGAAGGAGTCTCTGAATCTCTAATTTACACACACCAGTGAAGTAATTCTGTGTCTATTTCAGGATAAGGCAACTTTTGATAAAAATGTAAATAGGTTATGAATTGAAAGAACGTCAGCGAGAATGAAAAATAGCCAAACATGGAATGTGGAATCAGAAGAACATTTTGTGACATGCTGTATTAAACGTGAAAGCCGTAAGTGTAAGAGCCAATGGAGGAAGACGAGAGTCCCGGGAAAATGGATATAGAGGTTACATCTAGACCCCCAAATGGAAGGATGGCTTCATTTTCAGAATTATTCAGTGATCAGACACAACATTTTATGCTGCCTATGGATATATACTTCTCTTCCTGAAGGCTGCATATACTGGTATTCCTTGAATTAATATATTTTCTCTTCTATACCTTTCTGAATCAGTTCAAGTGCAAAACTAATATAAGGGAATAATATGTTATAATATTATATTCTAGATTATGTACCTTAGAATATAATAAAAATATTTGTATATTATAATAGAATGTAATCATTTGTGGCTACTGCGTTTTCTTGTTTTATTAATTAATTTTATTCCTTACTGATTCTGCTAGCATATATCACTGTCCCCATTTTACAGATGAGGATTCTGGAGTTCAAAGAAGTTGAGTAACTTTGTCAGCTTAGAAGGGGCAAAACTAGAATGAAGTTCCCTGTGATTGAACTTCAGAACTCTGCTCCTCGCTATTCTGTTGCTTTGTCTCCTCACTGCATTAACATTCAAAGAGCATTCCTATAAAGATTAAAATACCATTAGCTCTTTTAAACCACATTCTGTACTCACACAGGCAGTTTCTACTGATCCTTTGGAGGAAAGGACAAACTTTTTCCCAGAAGCACATGAACAATATCAGGACAAGTGAAAGGAGGTTCAAGGGAAATTCAGAAATTTGGGCATAAATCTCTCTCAAAATAAAACCACGGCATCTTTAATCAAAATCTGGCAACCATCGTATCACTTCTCTGAGATTGGAATTGGTAAATGTGGGTTATCCCACTAGGCCTTTAATACTTGGTTAGAAATGTATCCAAGAATTTGACTAGCAAGACAATTCACACAGTATAAACATGAATCTGTAATTCTCTTTCTCTTTACCACAAAACACTGTTAGTCCCTGCCTTGAACTCACTCTGAAGACGGTAAGTGCCTGGAAGAAATGCTAAGAACATTGAAAATTAGCCTAGAAGTAATAAATAGAGGCTGCCAAAAAGAAAAATATTAACAAATATCTTCTAAAAGTAAAGTCTATTGTCAATATAAAACAATTCCGAAGGTCGAACTGGAGGCATGCAATTAGTGAGCTGACTTGCAAGGTTTGCCTATCATCTGAAAGGGGAATCTTCTTTCATCTGCATAAAATTAAAGCAGCTGATAGTTACATCTCCTGGTACAAAGAGATTAAAATAATAAAATAAAAATAAACCAAATGTTTGAATTTGGAATCTAACCTCTCCCATTTTCCCAGCACATTCACATAAACTCTGCTCCAATGGAATTCTTCTCACCCAGCAGGATGAAGATCTTCTCAGCAGCACCCTTCCTCCCTTCCTGAACTTCTTTCCTCCTTAGAACTCATTCAAAGAGAAGACAAAGGACCTATGAGTGGATGGGAGCTGTTTTGTGCCTGGCCCGTAGCGGTGCTTTATTTTTCTTAAAAAGATTATCTCAACCTTACTGTAGCCAAAAAATAAAAATTAAACAAAACCCTAAAACAAATTTCTGAGGCATTTTAAATTAAAAATACAAAGGCCTGAGATATATTTTTAATTTATTCATAATTAGTTTACAGATTGGACTGCACCGAGACTCCAAATCAGCAAGCCACTTGGGGATAAAGGCTATTGCAATTATCAGGAGCAAGCCAAATGCTACCTTTTGTTCTTACCAAAATCTTCCCCTTTAAAAAAAATCTCCTGCAAATGATTTTCTATTTCCTATTTAAAGAGGATTACATAGCAAACACAACTAGTGGCTGGAAAGCAAAGAACTTTCCATCGTTTTATTACCTGCCAAATACAAATTAGTTCATTGTGGTTAACTCCTGCCAGGCTACCCCTTTCCCTGCCTCCCATCAGCCCGATGGGGGTATGGCAGGTTGGTTCCTGCCTGCAGTCCTGCCTAATCAGGAGACTGTCAGATATGCTGCCTGCCCACTGTCTCCTACATCGTGTTGCAGCTCTGGTGTTTGGGCAGCAAGGGTTTGAGCTTGAATTGCCCCAGTAACTAGCTTACAATTGCTCCTACTTACTATCACTGTCAAATCTCTGTGGGCATATGTGAGGCTCTCCTCCAGGTACAATAAAGACACCCTACAAATTTCACTTTGTAATAACTAAGATACAGAAATTGTATTAGCTGCATTAGATGGAGTCATTGATATATTCGGGAAGGTTAGCTGGATATAGTGAATGTCACAGCTAGACTAAGATAAAAAATCACTTTGTTAACTTAGAGTGTAACACCCTAAATTAAGGTGCCATTTATAAACAGTTTATTATTATTTATTAATGTATGAAGCACTTTATAGCATGCTAGATAACAACTTAAATTCATGTATTAAAGATGCACATACATGGTTTAACACGATTTACGTCTTATAATATTCTTTAAAACAGCTTCCCATAGTCTCATCCGTTAAGCATTTATTACTAATGCATTTTATAACATACTTTATAATACATTATTTGAGCAAGTAGCTGCATTTAGTGATCATTTCATAAATAAGAATAAAGCATTTATAAATGGCACCTTAATTTAAAGTGTTACCTTCGTATTACTAGGTAGCTGCTCACCATTCATCTTATTTTGTGATTATTCTCCAAATGCACCACTTAATAAAACAGACACTAAGTTCTATTTTCCCTTCATCTGATTAAAAGTTTATTGAGTCATTTCCTCCATCTGCTTTCAGATGTTGGTAGCTTGAAAGCTCGAGTGTGATTTCTGCAGAAACCAAACTTTTAATTTAATAATATTTCTGGGAAGATGATAATGGTAGAAACAGAGAACTACCTACCATATTAGGCAGAGCCTGTTGCTTGGATTCTTTGTAAAATTCAATTTTTCTATTCGAAAGAACAATCCAGGAAGTAGACCAGTTTTTCCTTAGGGGGGGAAAAAAAAGGAAAAAAAGCATTATCACTTGAAGAAATTATTCATAAATATAATATGAACAACATTTGGAATAGTAGAGACTATTTTTAACTAGATTTCCTAAAAGTCTTTGTTAAAGTTTATAGGAGGTATAGGATTTGAGTAATAATAAAGATGTTCTACAATTTTTAAGATCATGACATTTATAGTAAAAGTTTCTCTATTCATAGATCTTCCCCAAATCCTTTTCAACTACTAAAAGTCCAAATTTTGTGTATCAATGGTCCATATAATGTCTGTGTTTCTACAGCAAGACAAAAATAGCAAAGTGAAAATAGGAATCAGAACTCCTTCTTTAATTGTTACTTCTTATTGATTAAATATATTTAAGATTCTGAAAAACTAAACAGCTAATGTGCCTCTGTCTTGTTCAAAATATTTTTTAATGTTGAATTTCACTAGAAATCAAAGAAATGAAAATAAAAAAGAGTGAAATGCTTTTTCCTTCTTTGCCAATCAAATTGGCAAGAATTTGAAGGAAAAATACTAAGGGATCCTGAGGATGTGGAGAAATGGATTCTCTCATACAATTTCAGAGGGAGTGTAAACTAGCACATCTTTTCTGGAATGAATTTTGCAATATGTCTTTTTAATCTTTAAAATATGTATGTCTTTTGACTAAACAAGTCCATTTCAATGAATTTAAATTTATCCTAAAGAAATCATCTCATAAGTTATTAAGGCTGTGAGCACAAGAATGAAGTGCACCATTATTTCTTAATTCTGCACCTAAAATCTCACAAAAGAATAGATTGGTATATAAATTGCATATAATAGATTCATATAATGAAATAATGATTTCTATGCTATAGAAGATCTGGGAAGATTTTAGTGAAGACCACAATACATATGTAATTTACAACACCACGCGGTGTTATTTACCTAAGATTGTCCTCACCCATCCGTTCTTACTATTAATTCTCATTCAACAGAAGTGCAACTATTATGTCCTCAAATATGCCTTGCATAGCACTTATGATGAAATAAAAAATGATTTTGTAAATTTTATCTCTGTCACCCCCATTAAAAATAAAAGCCTCAAATGATAGAAAGCATTTCATCTTTACAGAGGTATCCTCAAGTGCCTAGAACAGTGCCTTGGACAGAGTATACAGAAAATATGCATTTATTGAGTCAATGATTGAACTTAGACATGGGGAAATAGCTGGATATAACAACAGTTAATTCAGGTAGTGAAATCATAGCTTTTGATTTTCCTTTGCATTTCTTGGTGTTTATCAAGTCTCCTGCATTGAATGAATATACTACTTCAGTAATTATATGTATGTATTCCTGTCATAAAGAATGCCCTTTTAAAATGGTAAAACATTAAAGAGATTAATATACATATGTTTCTATCCATTATATTATATTGCTACAGTTTGTGTTGGTTTAACACTCATTTCAAAATAGCTAAATTCATTTTATAGAAGTGGTTGAAGAAAATAAGCTTACAGAAATATTTTATTCAGGTCAATAGAAAAACTACACCAAAATATGTTTAAAATGACCAGTCAGGATCTTTGTGTAATTTATTACAACTTGCCTTTTAGAATCTAGGGGCTTGATTGAAAAGACAGCTTTGATTCAGTAAAGTTAATATTTGCAACAAGATTAGACTGCTCTTACATGCCTGAACATTTCTTAATGATATACCATTATGTTAAAAACAACAACAATAAACAGAAACAAAGCACCAAAATGTTTTTCCAACATGCAAATATGAACACTGTTTTTGGACCCACTTGTCTTCAAATGAAGTTGCTTTTTCAATCAAATGATGAAAAAGTTGGAAAAAGAAAAAGAAAAAAAAAAATCAGAAAGAAAACCATGTAGACCTCTTCCGTCCTTCGCCATAGATTCCATTTCTCTTTTTAGGTATCAGCAGCAGCAAGGTGAATTAGAGCATCCATAGCCTTCTCTTTATGCAGACCATAATACTATATGGCCCCATAATAGTAGATGTCCCCAGATAGAAAAGAAACATTGAAACAACTGCTGGTCTAGGCTGGGCATCTTTTATTTCCATCCCTTATTTTGGTTGTATGTGATCAGTCTTATGGAACATCCTCACACATGATGGAACCCGTATTTAATCTGCCTGTTACATTTCCCACTACATTTTGCATCACCTGCCAGGGAGATACTATGTCTTATTTGCTTCCTGTTATAGCAAACCCTGGATAAATGGTTCTGATTTGAATCTGTTTCAGATGTTGATCGTTAATAGAACTTGTTGGTATTTCTCTTCCATTCCTTAAACTTAGAACTGGAACTGGTTAGAACTAAGTTGCAAGAAATTCAATTATCTCATCATTCTAAATTAGAACTTTGAACTTCTGTGAAATGTTCCCTGTTAGAAAAATCTGATGAACAGGCCAAAGAGAGTAAGAAATGTTGGTCTTGAAACCTTAGTAATAGGAATTGCTCTGGCATTTTATGTACAGTGCTATTTCATTTCGAATTTATAAAATTCATATAATGTTTTTACGGTATTAGAATAAGTAAAGATTTCCTCAACTGGTATAAAATTAATTTTGTTTCAAAAAGAAGAATAAAATGCTGTAGTCAACTTCTTAGATGTCCCAACTTAATTTCATTTTTTCATGATCTCTTCTAAAATAATAATTAGCACAAATTATTTTGAGTACCTAGTATGAATGTGATTGTCTAGTGGAGGTTTAGCTTCACAAAAAAGATTCACTAATATGTCCATTTACCAATATGGAAAATGAGATTTGGAGAGTTTAGGTAATTTAAGGCCATGCACTTCAATTTAGAGTCAAGCCTGGCTTCTCTGACTCTGAAACCTGTAATCTATTCACTAATTTATGCTGTCTTTTTTTTTTTTTTAAGGATTAAGTAGCACTATCTTGGTTAAGGAGATTGTCTATGTCAAATTTCGTCATAGTTTTAGTCAAAATTCTCGAATTAAAAAGCTAGTGTGCATAGACTATAACAAGGAATAAGCCATTTGGGCTCTCCTATGAACTATTTTTTCTGATACTAATCACAAGGATTAGGCAAAAACCTGCCACTCCCAAGCTCTGTCCTTCCCTTAGAAGTTGCACAGACTTAAAAAAGTCACATGATGAACTGTTCAACTCCACATAAAAAGCTGGAAACAGAGGTGTGCTCCTAAGGGCC